ACAGAATCAGTTAGGTTGGAAAAGACCTCTGAGATCACTGAGTTCAGTTTTGCTGCAAAACATCTCAGCATCATGCCACATGAGTGCTTGGGACAGCTCCCCATGGGGCACCAGTGGGCTGAGCCCATACTGCTATTTCTCAGTAACATTACACTCAGCCAAGCTGTCATTGAAACCCAGTTTTTATTTTTAAATCTCCCAGCCAGGTATCTGGTGTCCTTACCCTTATCTGATGGCTGCATATCAGCATCCCTAAGCTGCTCAAGCACTTCTGCCTTAAATGTGTAACTAGGTGGCACTTTTGCCACCTAAAATCATACCTTCCCCGGCGCTCTCACAAGGCTCTCAGGGTTGCACAGCCTTGGAAACATCAGCAGACAAAAGGCTGGGCAGAATATTAAGGAGCAGCAGCCCTAAATCCCCTCCAACACATTCCCAGCTGCCTCCCATTGTCTTCCCAGGGGATGTGGGTGAGCACCCAGCCCTGCCCTGGGCTTTTCCCCAGCAGGACTCCAGGAAAGCTTTGAGTAGCTGTTGTGCTACTAAAAGGCTCTTATGCTCCAGGGGACACGAGGAGCTGCTGTGCTGTGGCAGGGCTGGTGTAATTTGCTCTCTCCTGCCCAGCAGAGCCAGCTCCCCCCTGCTCTTCCTTCCTCCTGATGCCCAGCACAGGAGCTGGCAGAGCCACCCTGTTTGCAATGAATACGTCCCTAAATCATTAGCATTTAATCCAGGACACCAGAGATAACACTGGCACCTCAGGCAAGACAAGGTCCTGCACATAAATACAGAGCCATAAGTCTGTCATGAGCTTGCCAGCAGTTCCTGAGCCCCTGGAATACGTTTTCAGATCTTCCCTCATGAAGACATTTGCCCTTTGAGGAGGCCTTTGAGTACTAGATCTGAAGCACAGCAGATGCTCTTATCACATTGCACTGCACACCCTGCCCAGTGCTACTACCCTCAAAACCCCTCCACACCTCCTCCCACCCTACCCTCCCCCCAAAAAAAACCCTAATCCCATGGCAACTGTGACTATCTGCTAGTTATTCTCCTCAGATTTTTCTTCCCAGCCCAAATGAGGCTATTCCTGGTGGCTCACTTATCCTCCAGCAGCCAATGTCTGCTCCCATATGAGGTCCACTTTGGTTCTTAAACAGGTCATTTTTCCACCCACCTGAATTTTGAGTGACCAAACCCTGTTTGTACTCATTGCCCACCTCTCATCCTTCTGTGGGTGCTGGAAAAGTCCCTCAAGTTCCTTCTGTGAAGCTCAGCCAGCCTGGGGACAGCCCACTGGCAATGATGTTCTGGGAGGAAAAATACACCTCAAGCCCCTTCATTTTACGTATCTTAGAATTGAACAGATTAAAGCTCCAGCAGCACCTAGGACATGAACTGCACTCAGCATATGGCATTGACAGCTACAGATGACTGACCGCTGCCACAAGAAAAGTCCAGTTTTCCTCAAAGGACTACGCAGTTTCCCCCTGGTTTGGTGCTGAAAAGCACAGAGGAGGAAAGGGATGAAAACATTCTTTATTCCTGTTCATCTTTCCCTGTGCCCAGAAGGCTGATATCAATGATAGCCCAGCCACATGTCACTGGACACATCTTACACTACTTCTCTCAGACTCCTCTTGTGGTGTCTCTTCCTGACCCTTCCAAAGACTTCAAGCTTTTCAGGTACTTCACAGCCAGCTCTCTCATACCACATTTCAGTGCTCCTACGGACTCTGGCAATGGCTGAGTTTTACACCTTGGCTTCAAGTGTGACTCTTTCAAGAATCTCCCAGCTCCATGAACTAAAGGATTCAGTGCTTTAGCCCATTTGTTTAACCGTTAGCCCATCCATTAATTGTTTCCTGGGCTTTGCTACTTTTAAATTGCTCTCTCCTACAACCATTCTGGCTTGGTTTCCCTTTTTACCAGCTTCAGTCCCCAAACCACGTGTCACTCCCTGTTCCCTGGGCAGCAGCACATATTTAAACAAGGCCTGAAAATACCTTCTATCAGAAAGGATATGTCATTTGAGTGGAGCAGTGGATATATGCAGCAGTTAGAACACACATGTGGAGCTGGGATGGAAATGGATTTGTCATTAGAGCCCACTGACTGCCTCCTGTCCTGCTAGAAACTGGAGAATGCTGCCCTCTGCGAGAGAGGAACCATTGCTTGTCAGGAGCTCAGGAGCAGGACAGGAGGCAGTCAGTGGGCTCTAATGACAAATCCATTTCCATCCCAGCTCCACATGTGTGTTCTAACTGCTGCATATATCCACTGCTCCACTGTTCCCCAGGCAGGGGCAGCAGCAAGTGTATTTTTGGTTTTTAATGCTGTAAAAAGGCCCAAGGCAGCAGGGGCTGACTGTGACCTGTAAAACCCTGACACTGCTGCCCCAGGGGCGAGGCTGGAAGCTGAGCCCTCCCTGCCACTGTGAGAAGCCTCTTTTCTTCCATCCCTTCCATGTGTTTCTATGGCTTCCTGCACTAAATAAGGATAAATGCACCTCACCCCATACCTATCTTTTGAATCTTTTAATGAGTGCTCACCTCCACAACCCAGCCCTGCTCCCTCATGCCCAGCGCTGCTGCTGGAAGCAGTGGGAGAGCCCAGCACCACTGCTGGGCACAGCAGTGACACTCCAGCTCTTCCCACCTGTGGTGACAGGGTGACAGCTCCTGTGGGGCTCAGGGATTGTCCCTGTTCCCAGCCCAGACACGAAGCTGTGCTGCACCCCCAGCCCACACAACCTGTCACCACGGGGGCTCTGCCCAGAGGCTCCTCTCCCTCTCCTCTGTATGACCTTCAGTTTTGCAAAGTTTCTGGCACCAACAAGGAAAAGTAATGTTCCACCTCCCCCAAATATCCTGCTGTTCCCTCTTTCTACAGGAATGCCACTGTTTTCCTGGAATGAAGCTGTCCTGGGACCAGGTGGGTCCCGTGGGCGGGGATGTCTCCCATTAGACCAGGTTGCTCCAAGCCCCATCCAACCCAGCTTTGAACACTGCCAGGGCTGGGGCATCCACAACCTCCCTGGGTAACCTGCTCCAGTGTCTCATCACCCTCACAGTAAAAAATTTCTTCCTAATCTAAATCCTAATCTAATCTAAATTTCCCCCCCTTCAATTTGTACACATTCCCTCATCCTGTCACTCCAGTTCCTGACAATGAGTCCCTCTCCAGCTTCCTTGCAGGCCCCTTCAGATACTGGAAGGTGCTGTGAGGTCTCCACACAACTTGCCCTCCTCCAGGCTGAGCAGCACCAACTTTCTCAGCCCGTCTTCATAGGGGAGGTGCTCCAGTCCTGTTACCAACTTTGGGGCTTCCTCTGGACCTGCTCCAACAGTTCCATGTCCTTCTTATGGACATGAAGCTTCCCTACCATCCCTGTCTTCTGGCCCCACTGTGGCTCCCTGCCATGGACCCAGGCTCTGACCTAAGGAAGCTCAGGCTTAAACACTCCCCTCCTAATCCCCTACACCAAGTAACATGTTTACTTGAGCCCCTTCTGGGATCAGTGCAGCAACCAAGGATGAGCACCCTCTTTCTTATCATCTTGGCTGAGTCCTTGCAAATTCCTTCTCCTAATCAATAAATGTATTTGTGGCCAGGATATCACCAGCTGTGGAGCATCTGGGCCCTGCCCATCTTTGATCCAAAAATACTCTGCCGAACTGAGCCAAGCTGGTCTCATTTAAGCAAAGCATCATCATTGTAATGCTACTTTGAAAGTCCTTCCAACTACAGAGGAGGGGATTCAGGATACTTTGTCTTTAGGATCAACAAGTTATCCGACTTACAAATTCAGGAAGCTTTGGGAATTTTCTGTAAGTAGATACTTTTCACCTTCTAGTGACTTTTATCTAAATACTTCTTGCATAGATACCAATATCGCTACTTCTAAACTGTAACCATTGGTAGGACTTCCCCAAAAAAAGCAGATCTACTGCTCCCAAGTTATGTACCTGAAGGAAAGCTTTAAAATCAAACATTCTGTTGAATATATTTATGGAAGAACTTAATTAAGCTCAGCAGCACATGATTATTCCTTCTCCACTTTTATGGAATCCCTTTGTTGTCAAGATCCTCCAGGACAGTTCTCAGATCCACAGTTCAGTACCAAATGGTGCTATTTATTTCTAATTCCTTCTTATCTTTAATTCAACTTTTTAATGTGGTTTTGGGGTTTTTTTGTTTGTTTGGTTGGTTTTTTTTTAAACACCCATTTGTCTCTGGTTTTATCCATCCCCTAATAATATAATTTTTTAATTAACCTGCAACCTTTTCAAAATTCTTGCAACAAATGTCACAACTTTGGCCATTTTCATCCTTTTACATTTTGATCTTTCATTTGCCCGCTACTACAATTTGTAGCCACAAGCAAATCAGAACCACTTGCAGTGACTGCAGCTCAACTGTGGAGCTCAAGGGCCCCAAGACTGAGATTCCTTGGAAAACAAGCCAGTCCCCTCCACTCAGCCTTGGATTCCAGCCTCCCCCCACCCCGCCCAACTCCTAACGCTTGGAAACACCCAGAGATTACAAATGTTTCACTTGCATCTTGACCTTCGTCACTGAAGAAGCAGAAGTGCTTCTCAATAAGTACAACTGGTAAAATATTAACTTGTGCTTTTTTAATAAAATGAAACAAAAGCAATCTAAATCATAGCAGCTTATGGATCCAAACTGTCCATGGCTTGGGAGCAAAGTGTGATTAAGAAGTATGAAAACTGCAAAATATTAAAGCCCTGCAGCAAGACAAATTCATGACACCACCTTCCCGCAGAACGAGCAATGCTGCCTGATGCTCTACTGGTTTGGTCTACTTTGTTCATGGGCAAAATATGGATTTTCTTCCTTGGTAGAAATGCCATATCCTCTTTTGCAAAGGGGAGGAAAGGTACAAAGCCCTTTTGATTAGAGCACAGTAGCTCTTTCCCTAATTAGCAACGTTCTTTTACAGCACTGAGAAATGAGGACTTTTTGTTTACCATTAGTTGAGGTAAGTGTATCTTGCTTTTATTTGGGTTTAAGACTACTGTAAAAGGAGTAGCTTTTCAGTTGCAGCATGGTTTGTCAAGATTACAATATTTATGACTGCATAAAATACATAAGTAAAAAAAAAAATTATGATTTGTAGAGTTTGTTATCAAGAGCTGAGACTTACATCTTTACAGAACTGCAAATACTGGCTTCCTAACTGCTAGTTGATAATTTTGCTGGCAAGAGCATTTGTTAACTCTTTTCTTTAATCTCTACACCCTTTTGTCCAAGTGTTGTAAGAACTAGCAAGAAAGTCAGTAATAACTATGGTTCCACTGCTGTAACAGCGTTAGATAAGCTGTACTGATTCTTCATTAAAACACCCTTCGTTTGAAGCTACAACGTAAGAGGCGATTCTTTTTGTTCAAAAGAAACTACTCACATGCTCTGTGCCTTTAACACTTCACATTGATTACAAAAAATTTAACAATGCAATCACTAACATACCCCACTAATGAGAAATTATGAGATACTGCTCGATGCAGAACCCTCTGCATCAGTCAACTCTGATCGATAAGAAAGCTATCAATTTTGAAATTTAGATTTAATGCATTTCCAAGAAGCTAATGAGAAAGGAGCAACTTAAAATAAATACCATCATTAAAACTGCAAACTGTTACAATGATATATTATAAACTTGTCCTAAATAAACCTAGTGCTTCAAAAATTTACCAGTGAATTCGTATTACAAAATATGTGAAAATACAATAGAATACCACAAAACAACGTCCTTTTTTTGGGGTCAACAATGACGCCAAGATGATTCAGTCTTCACTTTTAAAATCGTTAATAGAACATATTGTAATATATAAGTTGCAATTTGGTTGAAATCTAGAGAACATCCCCACCAATTCATCTTCTTCATTCCTCCTCTAAAACTAGTGCCAAACTTCCTGTCAAAGCCGGTATTTTCTTGAAGAGCTTTAAAATTTAGCTGTTACTTACTTTCTACTACTACATTTTGGCAGCAACTATTTATTGGTCTGTTATTGCAAAAAGTGCAATTTAACAATAAACCAGTCTGAAGGTCATTCTATGTCTTGAGGATACATACCATATATTTCTTTAAAAATAATCATACTTTTGTAAGCAATACTTTACAGTAGACACCTCAAATCTACCATAGATGTAAAACTTAAAACGAGAAAAATTTAGTCTCTAAATCTTTATACACATATTTATATTCGAGTTTCTATATATATTATATATATACACAAGCACAAGAGTATATATAAAATATATATAATCAGATTCAAAAAAGAACAAAAACTGGGCACTGTACATAAAATCTTTTTAAAACTCAAACAATAGAAAAACTTTAAACATTAAACAATTTTAATAAAAGTTTCTGTACAATGCTAAGCAGTTTTATTTACATATAGAAAATGTAATAGGAGTAGTGTTTGAAATTACAGAACTCCTTAAAATTTCAATGGCAGGTAATCTGGAAAAAATAACAGCATTCCATTCACAAATATTTTCAAGCAATAAATATGTATTTATAAATAGTGTAAATTTACATCAAGATTAGAAACAAAAATCACAAATCTGAAGTTTATTCCTTAGTCTATGTGCAACCCATTTATCTTTGTGACTTGGCTGTTAATTGTTTTAAATTTTATTTAGGAACCAAAAGTGTAACCGTCATGGTTTCAAAACAAGACAGAAAAACATAAAAGCAGTAAAAAATTTATATCACCTAACTCTTCACATTAAAAAAAAAAAAAAAAATGTTGCCCAAAGAAAGACTTAAAATTTCTAACTACCTTACAAAGAAATGACCAGCTAAGCTAGTACTTTTTCCAAGGGAAATTCTGAAGGGGGAAAAATGGATGAAACCAACTCATCAGCCCAGAAACAGAGAAATACAAAAGAGGTGGTCTTCAAGTCAGTAGTCTGTATAATGTTGCCAGTTTTGTCAGATATATACAAAACATGGAATTATTTTTTTTTTTGAAGTACAGCTGGATGAGCTTTATTTGTTTTGAGTTCTGGAGTAGGAGGCAGTGCTCTCTCCTGTCCAGTTGGTTGACACTCCGCACTTGGAAGGTTGCATAGACACAGCTTTCAGCCAGCAGCCTTACGGGATAGCTACAAAAATCAGTGGTGCAGAACTGGGTCACTTCCTGAATATCAGAAAAGTTTTCATTTAATGTCCATGAAAAAATGTCAAGATGAGGAGGATGGCAATGGAGGAGCCTGAAAGAGAAAACATTAAATTACCTTTTCTACAAGGGTGCAAAACTCCGTGCTTAACCAAGACCTGCACAAACTGCAACCATGAGAGTTTAAAGTCACACACACTACTCTTTTTACACTTCAAGACTCTTTCAAGTAGATACTGGCATTTTTTTCCAACTTACTCAAATACAACATGTATTTTATGAATACTTTGCATCAGGATTTTGTCTATACTGTAGATTGGAGTGTGCCATGGGGATATCTGTGTTAATATGATGTGAGCTGCCAAAACAAGTCCCATTGTGGCAGCAAAGAGTACCACATGGGCTCAGTATAGATATAACTTTATATATTCTAAAACAGGGATTCTCAACCTGTTTACCAGTGGGGAGGGGCATGGTCCATTTGTGGCTCTCCAAATGCCTTCATTTTTTTCCCCTCTTCCACCTGAACAATAACACATACCCCCGAAGTGAGGGTATCAGTGGAAAGGGTCTCAGATTCTCTGACATGGGGACAAAAAGCCTCAAAAGTGAAGCCACGTGTCTTCCTCCTGCCTGCTTTCAGGAGACGAGGTCTAGAAGATACCTTTCTGCTCCCCAGTATTGCACTTCATGGCGTTCCATCAAAATACTGAGTCTGATGGCGTTTTATTCTCTTTTCCTGCTCCTCAGTGGAATCCCTTCAAGAAGCTGCTCACAGTCTCTAAAGACACTCCAGATCACATCACAGTACCCACTTATGAAACACTAACACTGGCTTATCCCCACGTTTGCTCTGTGTACTTTACCCCAAAGGGTCTCTCTGGCCTATTGTACCTTTGCTCTCTGAGATTATTCTTCCAACAAACCTTAACTCTCTTCCTACATCTGAGAGATGTCACTTTTAGGCTATGACTCTTCCCAACTGAGACCGTATTCCCTTTAAAAAAAATGAATGAGCACATCAATTTCACATGAGAACAATCACTACTGTCCTCCAGGGCTACAGCCTCAGGTTTTGGTGGGGGAAGGAGCTACTCACAGGTTGAGAACCCTTGTTCTAGGGACAACATCACTACTGTTACCTACACAGTGTTATAAACACAGATAACAAAACGCTCCTCCCTCCCCTTCTCTTCTCCCACACACAAACATTATTCCCCATTTCCACTCAACTGGATGAAGTATCTGAGAACAGGTGTTTATTTATATACTTTTCTATAACAGATCATCACTTTGAAATTGCAGTATTCCACAAACTATAATGACAGTGACCTCCTAGAAGTATAAACTGAAGTTCAACCATCTCAGGCTCTGTAGGACTAATGAAGAGAATTAAATTCAGAGGACATGGTCCCACACTCTCACCAGCCTCTACTGCTGAACCTTGAGGCCTTAACTCAAAAGATCACAACTTAGCATGCTAACAATACATGAAATAACTAAACACACATTTTCTGCAGCACCTGGAAATGAACCAAAAGGCACAGCCCCTTACTGGGCTGTTGTAATAAATTCAATATGAAATTCTCATAACACTTAGTCCAATGTTTGTCTCCTCTGACAGAAAGGCAAGGCTTATAAATACATCCAGCATCGCTTTCATCGTGGTTACAAAAAAGCCATCTTTGCCTGAAACAATGAAACCTGGGTGAAACGTTAGGACAGTTGTGCTGACACAGTTCAAAGCAGGAGGCTGCCATATATAGCACAAAGCTATAATGGCAAAGAGGCTTTTTGCTTTAAATTGAAATGCAAAGGAGGCCCCAAGCCAAAAGACAGAACTGTTTGAGAGCATCCACTTGCTAAGCAGAAGGACAGTGCCGATTTGGGAGTAGGGATGGGTGGGGAAGGGGAAGGAAGGGGTCTGAGTGCATAGGATGCTCTGCTGCTATACTGACTTCATACCACAACCAATGTATTAGAGATGCTCTTGAACCTGGTGCTAGTTTCTCCAAGCTTCACTGTCCTGATTCTTCCCATCTCCATCTGATCCAGTTATGGTCTTCAGGTGATCTCTATTGGATTTTTAAAGCCACAACTTTATGAATTGTAACATCATACTTTTCCTGAAAACTCAGTGGTTACGTTCTGCAGTAAGTTACTGAAGTATTTCACACAATTCTGACTCTTCAGTGTTTTGTTCTGTAAATATCACACACAACCCATACCTCCATTTGCACCAGAAAGTCCACGGTACTCGTACAGTGGAGCACCAAGACAGTCTACAACTGCTTTACAAATAATGTATTTATGCACCCACTTATTAATTTGACTTACTAATGTAAATTGATCATAGACTTGCATCAAGTCCTCCATTTTGTACTGTTCTAGCACCACAAAGTTTTCCAGGTTCGTGCTTATCTTTCGTGCACAGTCTTGGCAATGTACAACGTAGGTCTTTCGAGAATTGCTCTCACTAGTGACAAAAAGCAGATCAAAGACTTCCACCTATGAGAAGGGAAACACGAAGCCAAGCGTTACAATTTCAATTTTTAAAAAGTTAAACCATGAAAAACTGTATTTTCTTCAAGATTTACAACCTTACCCCACGCATGAAAAGAGAAAAATGAGATTTGTTCATGGAAAAAATCTGTTCTCCTAAGGCTCAGGCAGAGAGGTGAAATATTGTAAAACCACCAATATTGCACTTAGGATGTCTGCATGAACAGCGCTACGGGAAAGCTTTGGGTCAATATTGACAAAGCAGGATTCATATGCTGAAGGGGGCTTACTCACTAAGGTGGGGATTTATAACAATTATACCTAATTTTCCTTTTTAAAATTCGTCTGCAAAAGAAGTTCGTGATTTATTTCCTTACTACTGAGTCACGTGCTCATCCTGCCCAAGAGGCTCAGCCAGAAGATAACTAGGAACTGATTTTCAGGGGGTAGGAAAATTTTATTTTCTTTTAAGCTTGAAAATTATAATCCCATAGTTTAAAGCAACTATTAACAGAAAGAAGTATAAAAAATTTTAAGCAAAAAGGTATGTCCTGTGAAAAAAATACACTTAAAATTCTCTCTCTTCTGTGGGTGTTGTTCACTTCTGAAATGAAAACAGATACACCTTTAAAATGAAGCCCAGCAGATCAAATTACATGCAGGAAGGGATATAATAACTGAGAATTGGAAATCGACCTAGTGAAAAACAATGTTGTGGAAGTACTGTGGGAGAGGCTGCAGCAAAATACAGGCTGTGTCCAGAAAAACTTCTGGATAAGCTCCCTGAAGACAGTGCTGCATCACATATATGTGCTCACAGCACAGAAAAGATGCTGCAACTTAAAAGCAAAATTTAAACAACAACAACAACAAAAGACAGGGCAAAATTTAAATCAATACTGCAGTAGTGCACAAGCCCAAGACATATTCTTACTGACCTCACAAATGCTACAGTAATGAGCTGGCTCGTCCTTCGCTCGCCCATGCCAGACTATCTCCTTTCCTGCAGCAATCAGAGCTTCCCGCAGTGTCTGACACTGTTTGAGAGTTCTTAACAGGCAGTACCTGCAACCAAAACCAGTTGTGTGTTCAGTTCGACATTCAACTTTACAGCAAGACTCAAACAGGCTGAAATTTCTTCCCCCGTACCCGGAGGTTGCTCTTACTCTGGGATTTCAAAACCAGCTGCCTAGTAAGACTCACTGGACTCACGACTTGGGGAGAAGTCACACCATGTGCTCATTCACGGACCTCTGTGTAGTTTTGTTCCATTTCAGTACTGCCCCCTTTGCCCTGCAAACAGGCTGTACCTTTCTTTTTTGTACCTTCCTTTTTTGGACTGAAACGCATGAATGCCCTTTTAAGCACAATAAAACAGTGTGTTTTCAAAAGCGATCCACGTATTTTATTTTGAACTATAAATTTCTCAGCACAAAGTGAGCTTGAACTGCCAAGTTCAACACACCTGTTTACATTTTGTGTGACGACAGCCTAGTCCAAAGAACTGTTTTAACATCCTAAAAACCCTGGTACTTCCTCAGCACCACTAATTTCAACGATCCCAAGTCTGAAACCCCAAGTTCTGCCAGGAGTCATTCTACACACAATGGAAACAGATTCTGCCAACATGTATCTTGTTCCATGAAAAAGGAAAACGAACACACAGGTTGGTATTAGAGAAGTAAGTCCTTTCGCAAGAAAAAAAGAAAAAGATTTACAGAAAAAAATAAATCTAACACTTATTTTATGAATGAAGAAAAGAATCACTCAAATGTCAAATTAAAATCCACAATTCCCTGTCATACTTCCATAAAAGCTAAAAAAAAAAAAATTTATTGACACAATTCTCTACAGCTCTCTTCTGTACAAGAAAATATAACTTGTTCTCTAGCACTTTATGAGCTATAGATATTTTCTAAAAAAAAGCTGGCAAAATAGGTCACCAGATTTCTAAATTACAATGTTATTTACAATAATTTTAGCTCTCAGCTATGCTATTTATTTGAGCTACAGCCTTTGCAGCCTTTAATTTTCTCCTCCACAGGGTGGTTACGTTACATGCTCATTAGATGCAGAAGGAAGATTGAAAAAAATTAAGGGGAAAAACAAACATTGGACAGAAAACAAAGTGCTCAAGAGTTCTATCAAATGTTTTCAACTTGATCCTCTCATTTTAAAGCCTTAAACATGTAATATATACATGCTGTATTTTTTGTTTTTTAAGTTTCTTTCATGTGTTCCCAAGTAGTTAACAGAGTCTCGGGCTTACTTTTGAGATACTCTCCTCTTCTTTTACACTCATACTGTTCATCCTCACTAAAAACAAATCCATGGCTTCATTAACACCCTCACTGTAAGGGCAACCCAAAACTGAAAGTGTGTTTCTCTCTTAAACATCTGATTTCTGCATACCAAATTTCAAGAAAATTATACAGCTCATTAAGCTGTGACTCCTTCAACACTTCTGAAGTTTGATGTGAGTGGGACTTACGACGTCAAGGCCAAGCATATGTGGTAGATGATGTATTGACTCACTCGAGTGTTGGGCCATCGTGCTCCTGACAAGCTCAGGAACTTTGGAAAAGCAATCCTTTGTGCAGTGCAGCCCTATGTCAAATAAACTTAGGAGCTACCATTCTTCTGCTGTTATCTGCAAGAGTCTTCAGGGACGCCAAAGAGCAACTGGAAGCACACCTGCACACTTGCCACCATTGTTCTCCACTCCTGACTTCCAAGAATTTTCAAAGTGTTATTTTGGAAGAGCTTTCTAGCGTTACTGATGTGAAAAAAGTAGTGCCCAAAATGTAACCCACTTACAGTATCACTGCAACGTCTGCCAAATTTGCAACCAAAGCAGAAAACAATAGCTAGATGGTGAAATTCCTCTCCTTGGATAAAATTCAGGTCCTAGTAATGGCACTTGAAAATATAAATGTTAACTATTTCATACTGTCAAGTATGAGAAAAGGGATACAAACTATCCCTTTGAAAATGCACTATTTCCTGAAGTTTGAGAAGCCTAAAGAAAGCCAAAAAGGTGCCTAGCAGAGTCACAATGTACAAGTTAAATGGGGTCAGCTTTTAGTACTGTAAACTTGCTTTTATTCTTGTTCAGTGAGAATTCAGTTATAAGAAAATCTACACCATCTCTCTCTCTCAAATTCTTTACAGGTAGATATGAGTAAATCATGTCCAGTCAAATTCAAATATTTAACAGAAGATTTAAAAATGGACATCACCCTGATTTATTCTAGAAGAGCAGTGAGAAAAGTGTTTGAATATTTAGATATGGAGTAAAACTTCTCAAAGTATGGAGATCATCCCAATGGCAACCCAGAACTGACCTCTTAGTACCTTTCAGTAATACATCTTCCCTGATACTTAAAATGTATTTTATCCGGCTTCATGGTTTTGTGCAAAATAACTTCTCCCATGTCATGTTCTTTTACATTTCTGAAACTATTTTTGTAAAAGAACTTAGTATTTCAGTGACTTTGGAATTAATTTTTTAAGCCTTTATTACTATGTTCGCACTACCTCTAAAATTCTTCTCTTCCTCAGATGCATTTGTAAAAGTCCTTCTGGCTTCCATCTAAGAAGAGGTTTGCAGTTAATTTTTCTTTTCTTGAGGGTTGTCCTCCCTCAGCCAAGTTTTAAATCATTTTGTCTGCTGTGTTCCTGCTCACAATTCTACTGTTAAAAGCAAATCCTTCAAAAACATCTCATGAGAAAGTTTCAGGTTTTGCCCTTTGCCTTTTATCTACCAAGACAGCACTGAACTGCACATTAACTAAAAATATAACAAGGCTTCAGATTTCTTCCAAAAGCAAAGTTTCCTTCTATTACTTTTTCCCTTCTGCTATTCTGTTTCTTTTCATTGCTAATCTGTTGATGCATCTAATTTAGATGTATGCTCAAATTTTAGTTTATTGCCTCTGCAGTGGTTACTCTCACATAACCCACTAAGATATATTTGTATTTATCTTTCAAACTGAATTAAAAACTACTTTTTATCGTTTTCCGAGAGTTATTCTTTTGTACTACTCTGATACCTAAGAAGCCCCAGAGACAGAAGTCAAAGCTACCTAAACACTTTATGTACCTTCGATGTGCAATTTTAGATAGACCTGTGCTTGGCAAAAAGATGACAGCAGTGCCACTTATTTTTATTTCCTGATGACAAATGAAGTCAGCTATCCAAGAAGAAATTCAATCAGGTCTATCAAAAATCACTATTTTTCAGGCATTTCTATGCACAGGCATACACACACTCACATATGTATAACACACAAATGTCTATCTATACTTTGTACATAAGAAAATACAGGTGCAGTGGACAACAGCTACTTCCCAGCTGGTGTTGTTTTCCTGCAGACAAGCTGTCCACAGGAAAATTAGGGAACTTTTCTCGTAACTTAAGAAAACCTACGAAGGTTTCTGCATTTCCAGTATGATTACAAAGCCAAGGCCAGACACCAGACTGTGGTGACACCCATTTCTAGTAAAAGCTAAACCATAACTACAGGAGTGACCACCATGAAGAGTTATCTCAGGCTTCTGCTACTGGATGCCACAAACCAGAGCTGATCATCCCATCTTCTTCCCCTCTGCATACACAGCATGGAACTTGGGATCTGGCTGCCAACCAACCTGGAAGGAGGGCTTAATCCAAGCAAACTGGAAATGGGTTCAGTGGACTGGATAAAGTGAAGGCATGCACGACCAAGGTTTCTATCTGCTCCTCAGCATCTCTGTTTATTTGTAATGTACACCTAAAATTTGCTAGAAAAAGCTGAGTTGCTGTCAGCCAGCAAGACAACGGGAAACTACCATTTTGTCCTCTGTGTTTCTCCATGATGTTTTAAAAGATTCTCTGGGAGGAGGATGCTGTGCTCAGTCATGTTTTTCTCCCTTTAAGTCTAAATTATGGCAAAAAAACCCAAACTTGTGCAAATGCAAAATACAGGCGGCAAAAATATCAAAATCATGTTTTGGCAAAAACATTCCAGAACTGCTTTGAGTTTTACAGTAGATGCCTGCTGGGCTTGGGAAGATATATACATATATATAAAGATAAAAGTGAAGTAAAGCTTGTGGATTTGTTTTTTTTTTTTAAATGGACTTTTTGGCTTCCTCCCTCCCACACCCTGTTTCTTTTCCCCCTCTTTCTCATTTCTAACTATTTAGTTTTTATTCTCCCTTTTACGACAGCTGGCATTTGGAATATGAGCACTAATTGCATAATTGAAGGGGCAGGACTGTCAGGCCTTCAGCAAATATTTTCTTTACCCTAGATATCAGTTACTAGTTTTTAAGCAATTATTCACACATACATGCTATCCCATAATCAAGTTTTGCAGCAGCTATAATCCTCCCTGTCTTACTTCCAACATTCTTGGTCCTTATAAATTTAACATTTCACCAATTCCACTATTCTGTAACAGATGTTCAAGCCTAAATTAAATTCCTACTGTAAAAAGGTGTCTCACTCAGATGTCACCAATAAATCCTACTGGGGGAAAAAACTGAAATTCTTTTCCTTTGCCTTTTTTTGCAGATTAATTCACCTGTTTTTTTAAAGATCCATTTCAAGGCACGTAATAAAAGGATTCAACGCTTGTGGATCCAGGATGTTGATAAGACTAAGAAATGCTCAGAAGTGCTTTGGTACTTAGGCAAAATAGAGAGTGCTGCTACCAGAGGATTCTCAGGATGAGTAATTTCCTTTGGAATTCATTCCCCCACTCTTCTTAAGACAAACCTACACTATATGCCGAAATGGTCATTCATTCCTCAGCCTAGGTATGATGCTGCAACATGATTTATATTTTCTTGAAGTTGCACTCTTCAAAGAAAATCACTCAAGACTCTTAAAGCCTGGAATATTCCTGCATTTTGGAATATTGTATGAGAAATGTCACTAAACTCAATTATCATTTTACACATCAATCAATTCATTGTTCAAAAGAAAGAGCAAAGGGAAGAAGGCTTTCAAATTCCTACTTGCCTCTATTTAAAAGATTTATACTGGATCTCCAAGTGATAGAGTGAGAACACTAACTAGAAGTTCTAGAAATGTAAAATTAAGTTTAACTTTGCTGTAAAAATGAATAAATATTCTAATATTTGGGTTGATAACCTAATTTTCTTATTTCTGATTGTATATACTCTGAGCAGCTGCTGTGATCTAAGCCAACTGTTTCTGTCAAGTGCTGAATTAAGTCTATGGCACATTTAACTAAAAAGTTACTTAGATGATTCTAAAGCTATGCCACAATAACATCACGTAACACATAACAAAATTAAGGATATCTATAAATGGTGTGTTTGAAAAACAGGATCTGAAATAATTTTGGTTTGGTTCTCAGGAATGGTCTTACAAAGAATTACTTACAAGTCGACTACTGGTTTATGTATGAAAAGCACACAACAGATGTTCAAATAAGTAAAACTTACTTTATCATTTCAAAAAGCTTTGGATCTGAGACCTTGATATTTCGAGCCATGTTCCATGAGAGATGAACCATGGGTACTATGGACTTCACGCTCTGCAGCTTATTCCACTCGTACCGTTCCACTGCCAATTTGTATTGACAGGCTACACAAAAGCAAAATCATAGTAGCAATTAATCAAGTTTAGAAACAATTATCAACCAAGATAATATGGTTATAATAAAAAATGACGTGTTTTATAGCTCAACTTCATTTGCAATGACCCACTCGTTGCAACTACATTTCAATTCTATAAAGTGTCTTTTAAAAAGTGTATTTATGATGCTAAAAGAACAAATACCACAGCAGCAACAAATACCTGTGAAAACAAGTTACTGATAAGTGTTCTATTTCTAAGGTGAACAGAGTGCAATATTTCAAAAAGAGTTAATTACTAAACTTTCAAATATTCCACAATGAAGAAAAAAATCTAGATCTGAAATGTCTGCATCTCACTCTATTCACTCTTTATCATAATTTTACACTGCTATGGTATATAATCTTTCCTTGAGAGATTCGTTGCAGTGAGTCAGACTTTTCATTAAGCAGCCTACTCACCCCACCCTTCTTTTAAAAATGTTTTACAAAATTTACTGTGACTGAACATGTGAGCTCTGTATCAGTCAGTCATACAATCCTAGAGATATACTGTTATTGCACCATATAAAGACATACTTTAAACTACCTAAAAAAACCAGAAGTTTTTTGGAAGTACATTCTCTTCAAATGCTTGACAGAATCTCGTTTTAACTGAAATTTCTTCCTGTGCTCAAACCTAAAAACTTTTCAAGACTACAGATCAAAACTAAAGACTTCTAGAACAGTAGGTCTGAGAAATCTAGTGTTCTTTCATGAACAAAATTTTACAAGTGTTTGCATTTCCTGATGCTTTCACCAAAGAGCTATCAAGTACCCCCACCAAAGTTAGAGAAACTCTTATACAAGGTAGAGTGCAGTTTGCTGAGAGAACAAATTTTGGGAGAAAAAGTTAAGAAATGGCCTAGCAAAACAATGTATCGATTAATATAAACATTTTATTCTTACAAGCCCATTCAAAGCACAAGTGTCAAGGCTGCATTCTTGCTGCTTTCCCTTCCTCTTACAATGGAATTATTTACAGCCTTCAACACGTCATGTTTTAAAAATACAGCACACATTGATTATTTTTTAATCTACTAAGGCACGGTAAATTAGCAAGAAATGGCAGGTTCTGTGACACAGGCAGTACAATGTCACCTAATAAAGCAGTTCAGCCCAGGCACTGCTCAAACATACCTGTAAGAGGGCCAACGTTCCACGCGATGTTGTTGCACCAACCGATAGCCTGAACCCAGTGAACAGTGCCAGCATTTATCCACACCAAATCCCCCGGTCTCTGAATAAATCTATAAACTGGGACATTGGCTTCATACAAATCTTCCAAGTTTGGCCACCAAGATCCCATTAGGAAATTCATATTGTTCCTGAAACAACAGGGAAAAAAAAAGTCTTCATCATTTACCAACGGACATGTTTAGCAGCAGATACTTCAGTGAAATTACCTGCGAAAACTCATCATCACCATAAATAACTTCTGCAGCTAATCAGTGACCCAGCAAGACTAGTCAAAAGGAAAAGTTTCACGCATAAAATTCCTGATCATAATTCCACATTTCACATCCTGCAGTAACAGAACACCTAACCATCCAACTGCCCATGTGAAGTCAGTTTATGGCTTCAGGTTATGACCTATTTTCCTTTAAGTGTCTCAGTACTTTGTTAATGCTGAGGCAGAGAAACCCTTGGTCAGACCTAGTGTGACACAGGTGCTGGATGCTGCTTTTTTAACCAGTGCTTGATTTTCCATACAGACCATACCAGCTCCTAAGGATGTTCAGTTTTGAACACGTTCCTCACACTGTCTGTGTGTGTGACGCTTGTCCACAAAAGAAGCAACCTCTTGACAAAATTTAAATTGTGATCCACAGGTCTATGCTATGTTCAGCCAAAGAATGTCAACTCCCCTGAGAATCATGGAAAAACACCTCCATATGGATTTCCCAAGTATGGACTCTTCCACTAATGTAATGCAAAATAAAGTCATTTTACTGTGCACCATGAGAGATTACTTGCAATGCACAGTTTTCAAAGACAATTCAGTGCCTCTTACCAGGCACTGTAGACCTTTTGTGAGGTTACCAAGATCTCAGTTTCTCTGTCACCCTCAGAAAGACAGTGTCATGAGAGTAAAAGGCATTTTGTGTCAGCGACATTGGAATTGCATCAGTGGAATTACATTTTTGAGATGGCCAATCTTTGGAAAGGTGGATGGAATAAGAACAGTTGTCAGTAGATAGGCAGAAAATCCAGACTACAGAGACACTGAGATTTATTTGCAGAGCTCTGGAAAAGTCCTGAAGTCAAAAGCTTAATCCAGTTTTAATCTGGGCAAGACAAGAAAAAAGAAATTCTCCCACAAAATCAACTTCAGAGGCTACTGCTTGAACACCAGCATGATTAGGGGACACGACTGCTGCTCCCCCATGTTTTTTTTTGGTGGATGCATGTGCAAACATGTACTGTTTTGTTTGTTTTTCAAGAAACCATTCTACACAGGGCACAACACAGAAACCCTAATCTTAAGAGCTGGCTGAGCAGCTCCCCAGTGCTCAGGGTACCTCAGTTTCTCCAGTGAAGTACAATAGCAATAGCAGAGGTCAACTTTAACATGCAGGACAGAGTGCCTGATAAACAGCGGGGCTATGATAGATTTTGTGATGTGGAAAAATTACTACTATGAAAACTGGAATGATGCCATATAGTCCACACTGGTAGCAGGCAGCTACTAAACTTCTGAGCCCCCTTAATGTAGTATAAATGTGAATCTTGAACCTAGATGAACATTTACTACTACCAATCTCTCATTTCTTGTATTTCCTTCATTTCTATTTTGGAAAAAAAAAAACAAGTAATGGACCTAATGTCAATTTTTGAGAGCAAAGCTACCACAGGCAATCCAAGTTTCTGTACATTGTACAAATGTCATATTTTGTATAAATTCTAGATTTTTCATTTTGACTCACTTTAAAAGACTTTTCCGACTACGTGGAAAACCCATAAAATAACATCCCCATACAACACCCTCGGTAATTTCCCCCCTCAGGTCTCAGAAAGGCACAGAGAACTTGATAAAAATACAGAGAAAAACAGCATGGCCAGCTTACTTTTCACAGAAGTCATTCATGACACCCCAATAGCTCTCAGGGACAACAAACCATTCACAGTCACCTGGACCAATATTTATATTTACTGAACAGAAGTTGTTATTTTCTTGATGACCTGATAGAGGAAAATAAACACACTTTACATAAGACTGTTCTATCAAAATAATGCCATGAAAATGCAAAGATACAATTACTAAAAAAACTTACACCACAGCTTAGGTATTTGTATTTTTTATATGACACATAACACCGTTTAGGTGCTTCAAACAATTAAGCTACCAGTGACAAGAGAATCCTCCTTTGTTAGTTTGTGGAAAATGAAAAGTTGGAACCATCAATCTTGTGAATCTGACCAATATTTCAGCAGTTCCCTCCCTGTAGAAATAAATGCTTCAAAAGCTCAGATTTTTTGTTTCATGATATCTCTTGACATTCCCAGTCAGGTGCAAAACTTCATCATTTCAGGCACTGAAAAGACAAGTACTAAGAAAACTCTTCCGAAAGAGCTTTCAAAATCAATGTAGAAATGCCAGTATTTTATCTTCCTTTGACAGTTGGAAAACCGAGCCATAATCCCCAATGGAATTTTCTGAAGTTGTACTTCAGAAAAAAGCAGATCCTGAAATTTAGTCCAGATACCTCAAGTCTCAGTCCAGGCCCCTAACACAGCACTATTCATCATGGAGGGTTCAGTCCTATTCTCAGACAATAAAGAATCTAAAATAGTAAAAAACAAACTGATTTTTATGGTTGCATAAGTCCTACTTGGGGAGCCTATAAATACTTTCAAGGTATGTAAAATACAAATACTGTCCAAACCTATCCTATTTTTCTCCTTAAAGAATCCAACACTGCATGCAAGAGGTCAGTATGGCAATTATCCAGCACTGCAGAAATCCAGAAATTTCCACTATAAGGGAACTCAGTACTTCGTACACATAAAGCTCAGTTAAACAAGTAATAAAAGAAATACTCAACAGGTACAATTTTATTATGTTGAGGCATGCTGTGAGACATAGAAGATCTGCAGGGCAGTTAAATCAATACCTCAGCAGTGGAAGCTGATTTTTTCATGCAGAAATTATACTCACCTGGTGTCCTGCTTCCTGGAACCTTCATGTACAGCTGCACTGTGTTCATGCCCAGGATGGTATGACCAACATGGCTTAGAAGATTTCCTGCTGATACCACACGTACAAAAGCAGGAAGTTTTGTCAGTTCATGGAGTTGCAACTTCCACCTGCAGCAAAATAGCAAATTGACAAACTGTGAATCCCTAAAACTCTCAGAAGAGTTTGGGAAATATAAACATTTTTGAAAAATTGTTAGCACAGGTATCTGCATTACTCTTTCCATTTTGAAGTATTTCCAAACACAACCACGGATCTGACGGGCAAGTTGAGGGGAGAGTTCTGTAGTAAAAGCTAAGAATACAGATCAGATGATCTGGCATCTACTGGGATCCTACAAGAACAATTCAAAGTATCAAAATCCAATTTCCTAAGAGCCTCAGGTTAGTTATGCTTAGGTTAATGTAAAGTCTCTCTCCCAACAGTTTATTCAGAGTGATAGTTTAGTAGTAACTGTTTTGATCCTACGGATGGAATTTCTTTTAGAATAAAATAGTGTTGATATTTTAAATTTTATAACCAACTCTAGTCACATAAGTGGATACACACGCTGATCTTTCAGTGATTATACCACAAAAGTCCTCATCATCTTAAGCAATCCTTATTCCCCAGACACCCTTAACTTTTCTTCTGTTCTCATGACTGAGGAGGACCACAAGTTTTGCCCTCCAGCTGGTAGAACTGACAGTCTAGACATGCTGGACCTTTTATGGAAATATGCACTAACTGGAAACTGAGCCAAGGAAACAATTATTACTGGACAATAAAACCATGTTTCAGAGTATTTCTAGTATTTTCTAAGCTACCTTCATCTACTCACAGAAGGATATATAAAGAATACTCATTTATTCCCTATTTTTTTTGAAGCTCTGGGAGAGGTATCATGGCTTGTCCACAGGCAAGCACTGGTCTGGTCTTTACTACATATTTTGATTTTGTTCCTGGATAAAGAAGCAAGAGTTATGAAAAAGTGGAAACAGAAAAGATGACAGTATGAATGAAAAGAAAAAAATCTCATCCTGAATAACAAAAATTGAGACAAACGAAGAAGAAAAAAACTTCAACCTTACAATTTCTACACAAAGACTAAAAACTTGGTATTGCCAGAAGCAATTAAAGTTGTAAGCAAACGATTTAAAGCCTCATAATGAAATAAAGGGAATGGATTAGAAGGAGGACTAGAAAGAGCAGTTTTTGATGGATGTTTAAATTCATTTCTGGAAAAAACAAAAATCCTGGAAAGTTTGAAAAGATATTTTAGTGTGAGAAGGACTCGTAACAAGTTTTGAGACCCATTTCATTGTGGAAATGGGGTGTGCAACTGGAATTGGGTTTATCAACAGACTGACTGATGTCTGAGAAGAATACACTGGATTTCCAGGGGGGTCATACTGTAGAATACCACTGTGAGCAGCAGAAACTGTAATCAACTTACTTCTTGTCATCTGACAGGTCAATGTTGGTCCCAAACTTGATTGTTTTAAAAGGTCCTCTTCTCCTCCTCCCAGAGCTACAAATGTAAAAAATATAAACACGTGAATGTAAAAAAATGGAAATGTAAAATACCACATAAAACCAACTACAGAATTAACACAGTTATACCACACTTACTTATCAGAAGATGTGGATTCATTATCTGAGTGGTCCTTGTGGTGACTCTTCTTCTCATTTTCCTCCTATAAAACGCAATTTTAACATGTTTATATATATATATACACATACATACATAAAAGAACATATGAAAAATATATAGGTATAAAGTGATAACGAGGGCATAGACAGAAGCACATTTGTTTTGAGATCCTGAAACAATCTTTGAAATATCCGTATCTGAGATTTTGTGTCAATATTGCCGTCAAGAAAATAAAAAAAGTTAGAAAAACAGTTCTTCATGATTGCAGATTCAGTGAAACTCAGGCCAGGACAAGAGAAAATGCCTACACTGCAAACATTTCTGGCCTGCATCAGAGGTGCAAATGAGTCTGTTGTTTTGCTTCCTTATGCAGGTGAATCCAATCTTAAGGAATACTGTTAACTTTTTCAGACTAGAACATCCACCTTCCTTCAAAGTCAGGCAGGTATCCCGAGATGAAACTAGGATGACTAATATTTATAAAACTAATTTTTTTAAAATCCATTACATAAAATCTCTTGAATTTTTCATAGCCATATGCTATTTTAGCACTGCAGTGGCTGGGACCATGACGAGTGGAAAAAAGCCATCCAATATTAAATGATGCAATTTGATCTTTTTAGCAGAGCACACTCAAACTCCTATTCTAAAGACTTCTATTTTGGCAAGTATACAGACACAGAAGGAAAAAGGAAGAGACAAAAAGGAGGAATGAACTGTCTGGAGTCTATCCAAAGATCTCTGGCTTTGAATGGGATTGTTGTTAAACCTCAAAGTGCCCTATGTACCTGAGAAAGGCTTATTCATCCTTTGAATGAAGGACAAAGAGAAACAAAAAGGAACCTCGTGATGATGGATTTATCAAATACTGCAAGACATGTTAGGAAAGCAATGTAATAGCTGTGAGAGGAATAAAGAAAAAAAGATCACTTAGGGCAAGCCAAGAGGATTGTGGCTGTAGAAAGGAGAAATAAAGCTTTCATTTGAACACTGAAAAGTCACCTAAGGACAGGTCAAAGCAGTGTTAGGCAAAGGACACATGTACACTGTCTTTCTGATTTCCAGAGGAAAAATGAAAATCATCACTCTGAAAATTATTTTATGTATTGCATTTTTACAACCAATTTGTGAAAGTGAGAAAAAATCCCAGAAAATCCTGCAGTTCATATATTGGTGCAAATCCAAAGGTGAGGCTTTCCGTGGTAAGTGATCAAAGATTTAAACATGTGTGTGTATATATATATATATATATATATATATAACATTCCAGTGTTGTAATGTTTTCCAGCACCTCTGAAATAATGTGCAAGAACACAACGCTGGTGTGACTGTTCAAGGGGCACCAAAAAAGTTCAGTCAATATCCTACCTACATTTATTACCAGGAAGAAAAATCCCATTTATGTTACAAGCTCTTGATGACTTCCATGCCCCACACTTCCCAAAGGTTCCCTGTTTCTTTTCTCCATCCTGTGTCAGTCTTGCTGTCTAGATTCCCTTCTGTTCTCTTCAACTGCCAATTAAGTTCTTTGTTTCTAATCCTTTCCTCTAAAGCACAAAGTTTAAATTTGGATTTTCTCTTTCCTTTCTTACTAAAATTATTACTGTTTCTGTGTAATGGCAGTGAAAACGACAATAGTCAATTCCCCACATTGGCATTTTCCCTATTTTCTAACAAACAACTGGTCAAGAATATCTTCTTGTCTTAGTTCCATCTCAGACTAATCTTTGCAACACCAGATAACATAAGCCTTTGAGGAGTGCCCACAGACAATGTGCTCACTACTTCAGTGAAAGTATTAAAAAGCAATAACAATAAAACCACATTTCACAGAATCACAGAGCAACAGAATAGCCAGAGTTGGAAGAGACCTTTGGAGACCATGAAGTCCAAGCCCACTGCCAAGGCAGGCAGGGGAAATATTATTTCCAACATTTCACTCTGTCACACATCTGAAATTTTCGAAATGAAACTGTTATGTTTGGAAAGCAACGAAAGACAAATATTAGTGTAAACTTCTAGTAAGCCACATCCAAATTAATTCAGTAGAATGAAGAAATCTGATTTCAAATTATGTCTGAAATTAGAAGCAACCCAAATTAAAAAAAAAACCCTATTACATTCGAAATGTTTTAATATGAATTTTGACATCACTATATGAAAGCTTAAACTAACAAGTTTTCAAAATATGCAATAACCGTGAGCTTTATGTTATGAAACTTAAGTTTACACCAAACTTTCTGGAGGGATAATAACATTATTTGACCCTCTGTTCAAAACAGATTTTGCAAATTTACCTGTACTCTTCATGCTTAAGGAAATGTCTCCTTTCCCTTAGCAGCTTCCGTTTGTTTCCAACAGCCATTATTAACTGGCTCCAGAGTCAACATACAGTTTGTGAACTATAACCAATAATAACAATGAACTTACCCTTAAAGACTCCTGGAATGAGGAGGCCTGGTACTGTGCATATTTAGCAATTGTTGTGTGAGATCTACTGCTTTCACAACGCCAGATTTTCTTTGTTCCAGTGGGGTCCCAGTTTTCATCTGCTGGCTGCAGTAGCTGTGTCCTTACTTCTACTATGTGTTCATTATTCGCTTCTACCAACGTCTTAGTAGAGAAGAGTCCTAGATCTAATAAATAGGAACAAAATTAATAAATGACAGTTAAAATATAATAAAAAAAGTTTCAGGAAAATACTTGGAGTTATCTAAAGGTTTACCCTAAAGCACTTTTCTCCCTCAGCCTTCACAACACTGCACACCTGTACATTAATTATTAACACTGGTGATTAACACTCAAACAACTTTTCTCCACACAACAGTAGAAGCTCAGAATAAACTTGGCAGCTACTCTGTGGATTGTATTCCAAGAAATATTTTACATGCCTTGGGTAAAAAAATCTGTAAACAATGTTTAAATCTATTACCAATTAAGTATTTTTCAGAGCAGCTACTCTGTGGATTATATTCCAAGAACCATTTTACATACCTTGGGTAAACAAATCTGCAAACAATGTTTAAAATCTATTACCAAGAAAGTATTTTTCAGACCAGAGTTATAAATGCACTTCCATCATACAACATATTTACTACCAGCACTGGTAGTTTATTTGTCTACAGACTCCAAAACGTTGTCTGGAGTCAGATTTTAGATCATTAAATCTAAACACAGAGACATGCATCCAGTTTTTATAGGAAAAACATCTCGCTGTAAATTTCCACATCCACAGCTCAGCTCCTCTCTGTGCTCAACAAAATCTGCTCTATTTTGGTGGGTTTTTTTGACACGATCAAGACTAGAAAAAACAGCAAATTGAGAAATGACACATTACTCCAATGATTTGGAATATACAAGTAACAGAGTATTACAGAAATAAAACATCCACTTTTAAGAACTGAGAGATTTCTCTTTAAAAAAAACATACTTTTTTTTCCCCCGAGGGTAAAAAAAAAATAAAGTAAATTTACCTAATTTAAGCGCTCCAGCAAGGCCACGTATTACAGTAACAGGGTTGTTTGGATTTGTACAAAATTGATGTAAAGGTGGAAAGAAAGCATCTCGTTTATTTTCCAACTGCAAAATTGTAATGGAATATTAGATGTCAGATCAATTTAGATTCCTTATTTGTAAAATAAGAAAGAATAATAAAAAAAAAAAAGAGGTAAAAAGAGAAACAACAGAAAGAAAGAAGGAATTTTCTCCATTTCCCCTCACTGTGGGCAATGAAGAGCTACATCACTACAATTCTTTCTATGGTTAATGCTGGGTTCACTCCTGAAATTAATTTGTTACTGTAATTTGTTTCTTGGCATGAATTATTCCCAGGCTGCTTTGGCTTTTGCAACTCAGGTTTCCTGCACTTAATTTCTTTATCTGACAGTAGCCTTGTACATTCCCTAAATCTACAGAACTCCCTGAAGAGTAAGGTAATACAGTTTCTTTTCAGAGGTTAAAAAAAGCTAATTCTATGCATAATGTATACAAGAAATGGAACAATTAAAAGGCTACTCTCATGGTGTACTTTGGATGTCCAGCTTTGGATGGACAACGCTGTGACAGACTTTTATTAAGGTAGATGAATTCAGGTGCAACACCCATCCAACTATCCCATCCAACTTAACCTGGCTCTCAGGCAGATTCCTGTAGTATTAAACTGAAGCACCAACCTCTTCTGGCCCCCAAATCGAGCTGACCAAAGCTGACTTGAGCTTTTTACACTGGCTGTAATTTATTCTTCTCTTATCGAGGAAATGGATATCCTATAATTTATTCTTCTATCACTAAGGAAGTTAGCTCAATAAAGCTATTATGAAACTTTATTTCCAGAACAGAAGTTTTAATGCCTGCCTAAGAAAATACTACCCGACCAAACCCTGCCTTTTCCTAATGACATTCTGTTCTTAGCATCACTTCATCTTTTATTACTTTTTCTTCACTATATTTTGGAGCAGATTGTTATGAGAGTTTAGTTGAGTTACTTGCTCATTTATACATAAGCTGTCACTTGCAAAAAACTGTACATACATATTTGAAATACTGTGCATTGTATCTAATGAACTGTTCTGCTTATTCTGCCAACATTTTGAGTATTAAAAATAAATAAAAAAACGTCTGAAGCGTTTTGTTCCTTGTTTACTGAAATTCTTACTTTACAAGTACTTTAAGAGTCAAACTGTCTCAAAATTTTCTTTAAGGTTAGCATTTTTCCTTCTTATATACTAGTCTGGAGAGCACTGTAATTAGAACCCAGTGATGAATAGTGCATCTTTAAAATAATTACATTACATAATTCAGATATCCAAACAATTACAAAAGACAGGCAGCAATACACTTCTGCCACTTGATTTACTTACATAAATACTAGGTGTAGGTGGATTCAGCTTGTCCTTTGGCAAGGGAGGGTATGGTGGAGGTGGTGGTCGTGGAGGTGGGCATTTATCCAATAGAATACTACTGTTAGATAAGCCATTTTTACCCAGATTCCTAAAAGGAAAGAAGAGCTGCCTCTGTCAATGCTTGACAAATAAAATAAATACATATTGGTGTAATCCCCTATGCAAAATAACGTTGTATAAGGAGAAACTGTAACTTAAGATGCAAATAAAGCCCATATATTTTAATCAAGAACTTTCAGTGTATAATTTGCTATTATTCAAAATTATTCCCACTTTGCCTGCCAAATCGAAGACAGCACCACTATTACTTAGAAATACAGCCATTTTAAATACAAGCAAGTGACAAAATTTAACAGAAAAAGCAGGTTTCAACTAGAAATGGAGAAGAACCTTATCAGGTGGATGATCATTTCACAGGAGCTGAGGAAACGCAGTCCGGTGCTGAGCACTGTGGCAGAGCAAAAGTCAGAAAATGACAATGTCTCAGCCAAAAAACCCCTGCTGAGTCACAAAACCCAACTACAACTACAGATGCTGAATGAACCACCACCTACCCCTCCCTGATTTACAGGTCTTGGAGCCAAAAGGAGCCATTGCTGCATAATCCATTTTTTTGAGCAAGAGAGGAAATGCCCCATCCCGAGTTTGTTTGTCACCATCCCTGTGGGTAACTTCAGTGAGAACCTCACTGCTTGTATTTCCAGCCTTTCACTGGATATTTCCAAGTATGGATAACCCACTGTATGTCTAACTTTTTCTAGAACAGATGACCTGAAAAATCTCATTCTAAGTTTAGCCTGTAGTCAATACCCAGTTACCATCACCAGGAAAGTATTTTTTTGATAAAACCACCCCTTACATTTTTGTTAAAAATGACTCAACTACTTCAAAACTCTTCCAACAAGATACCATCCAAATCCTTCTTCCAATCTCACTTGATTCACTAACGTGTTGCTACATCCCACAAAATGGGATGTTTCCAATGCATAATTTGATCACGTTTTTATAAAACTCACTGGCTACAACAAGAAAGTTGTTCTGGTAACAACAGTCTTCAGCAGAAAACACAGCTGACTTCTATTAGACAGAACTCCCAGCAATGGAGTTTGTCTGTAAAACAGAACCTGTGATGCTGCACTGAGAAACACCGCAGAGCTGGATGCTGGCATACGAGAGCTTAAAATTAAGTTATACCACAAACCACAAGTAAGGTGGACTTGAGGGTTGAGATCAGATCAGACTGATTGTTATGACAAACGCTTTAAAGAAAACGGGAAAACATCTCCTGTACCCCAGGCTGCAGCAAAGTATCCTGAAAAAGGTGGCCATCATGACAAACCAAGTCAGCCATTCAGTTCAGAACATGTGCCGGCTTTGCACCTCTGACACTACTCTCCTCTGACAGAAGGTCAGAGCAATACAGAGACATAATTAACAACCTCTCCAAAGCACATTTGCCAAAATACCACACAGTTTACTCCTTGTGACAGGTGAGTCTAAAGCCAGAATAGATTGGAATTTCAAAGGGAGTGAAAGAATGATGCAGAAGCTTTGATTAGGCACCATCCAACATGGCAAAAAAAAAAAATCACTGACCAGTGCTTAATGTCTGATGGAGTTATTGCAAACACCCCATTGTCCCCAAACACACAAATACCCTCCAACAAACCAAACCAAAAACAGAACCCCAAAATAACATGGCAATATAAAATCACTACCTCATAGAAATTTTTTGACCACAGTTGCATTAACCTGAGATTCAGACCATCTATACAAAGTGAAATTATAATCTAAATAGCAGATATTAGAAGTTACTATAACCTCTGCATTACCAAACTGAAAAAGTAAAACTAAAAAAAAGCAAATGCATAGTATTAAAAATAGAAGAGAACTTGGACAAAATTCAGTTTGCATTGATAAACAGTTCACAGGCAATTTCTCAGGCAGTGAAGATGAGAAACACCGAACTTGAAGAAAAAGATACATTGCTCAGAACTAGTGTGACTTCAGCTACTGAAGTCACAGCAAGGTGGTCACCTCAGCGAAAGCTCAGTAAAGCCACAGTGGGGTCTTCAGGGAAGGGGGGCAACAGAGAGAGGAGAAACTTCTATACACTTAGAGAAACCATGTCTGAAAAGGCAAAGGAGATAGAGAACAATACAGAGGAAAAGATCAGATGAAAAAAGGTTATCTCATAAAGTCAACATTTGAAGCTGATATTACCAATTCCACGTTATAATTTCCTATTAAGTTATTAAAACCCTCTGTAGAAATTTTAAGAGAGGAAAGAGGACAAAGAAAAGCAAAGCTGAGATAGCAAAACATTCATAATTCAAGTGACACAGGAAACAGATGGGCAGAATATTTAAAGTTGTCTTTAACAGACCAGCTTCACTCTATCATCTTTTTTTTTTAAACTATGAATCAGAATAACTTACTATTAATAACAATGCAAGAGAGCTATTAAAGAATAATTCTGTAATTGATAGTATGCCAAACAGAGCAATAGAAATTATAAAAAACACTACAGAAGTACTAAAAATATTTGCTACCAGCATCTGAAACATGTGAGTAACCACTGCCAGCCTCCACCTCTGGAAATACAAGAATTATGGTCAGTGCAAGGAAAGTGAAAGACCTTTTCTGACCACAGAGACTGTGATGAAAATCTCACAAATCTCAGTTTCGAGAATGTAGTTTCGGAGGATTTCAATAGTGGTGAGAGGATTTCAGAGTGGCTGAAAGAGGCAACAGATGCACTGCTCAAGACAAAACAGGCCCCATAAAGAAACTGGATACCCAGTCACCTACAACACTGTCATGGAGGAATGAAGAGAAGGACAGGCTTCATTCATTTTAATTGACTTTCCACAGGAAACTGGCTTGTCACGGACTATGAGGGCAGGAGAACACCCTTCACTCCCACAGTGGGAACAGAAGGCAGAAGCAGCTGTCAAGCTCAGAAGTGCAGCCTGTCCTGAGCCACAGCTGCAGCTACTCAGTCCAGGGCAAGTTACTTGATGGGTGAAAGCAACTCAAAGGCTTCATCCTGAGGACCAAACTCACACTGCCCACACTTAGGAGCAACATCAGCCACCATGGATGAAACAGGTACCTCGATTTCACAGAATCAATTAGGCTGGAAAAGACCTCTGAGATCATCCAGTCCAACCTGTGACCGAACCTTGTCAAGCAGACCATGGCACTGAGTGCCACATCCAGTCTGTCCTTAAACCCCTCCAGGGACAGTGACTCCATCACCTCCCTGGGCAGCCCACTCCAATGTCTAATCACCTTTTCTGTGAAGAAATTCTTCCTAATGTCCAATCTAAGCCCCCCGGCACAGTTTAAGACTATGTCCTCTTTTTCCTATCGCTGGTTGCTTGGGATTATTTCATGTCATCATTGATCTCTTGAATAATCAATTATCACATTCATTAAAACACCTCTTTTTTCCTATTCTACTGCTTTCTAGGATACATTCCCACACCTTCTATAAAAACCAGATTACAGCCTTCAATCTCAGAGAAAAACTTTCCCTCTGGCTGTACCAAGACACACAGGTGACCAGGAGAACAGGTGTGACACAGTTTGTTTCACAACAGTCACCTCCCCTTCATCACACAGCACCCACTCCCCAGCCTGTGCTTTTAGCAAAGAGCAGCACAAATAACTTAACAATATCTAGGGATATCCTGACAAATGGAGGCTGATGGCTTAACCTGAGATGAAGCCTTCATCCACCTACCACATTCCTTCCCTCGAGTTCACTATTGCCACGGCAGCTTGTTATGCAGGCAGGATGTCCCTGCCCCACAGGAAGGTAGACTCCAGCTCCAGCCTTAGAGACTCCCCTGCTGGAACTCTACACCACTATTAAAAACTAAATAAAACAAGACCAAAATCTGATCTCAGGGCAGTATCACTGAACCATTTAGAATCACATGAAGCTTATCAGGTAGTTGCTAAACACTTCTTAGGTGCTGTATCGGTTTTGTGTCATCCCAGCTGACTAAAAAAATTATATAATGCAACTTTAAAGCTACTTGTGTTACAAAGCTGAACCAATTTTAACTCTATTTTATTACCAAAACTCTCAACTACATCAAGAATAATTCAAGTTTACATGATCAAACCTATCTTCTCAGAACCAAGAATAATTATCATTAATTACCATCCTTTAAATTTATTAAATTAATTACCTCAATAGTTTTATTATTTCACTCAAGCCTAATGTCAGACTGAGAAAATTATGTCTATTTCTCAGAAAGTAGTTCCATAGTGCTCTTCAAGTCCTCTGGAACCTTTCCTGTTTTCCAAGAACTGTATTAAAAAAAAATCATCATGAAGGATAAACAATCCTCTGGCCTACCCTTTCAGAGCTCTTGGATGTATGTTATCTGGGCCTCTGGCTTAAAAATGCCAGATTTAAGTATAACTACTGTTTAACCTTCTCCTTGAACATTGTGAAAACAGGGAGTGTGTTATTGTACATCTCATGATGTGAACGTTTTATCTGCCTTTTTCCCAAGTACAGAACAAAAATGTTTACTGAATCCTCTTGGCCTCTACAGACAGTTCTAAAAGTTCTGTGCAGTCATTAAGGTTGGTATTTTTTTGTGTTTCTTCTTTTTCATTCTTGTCTACGGTTTTTCCTCTTCCAAATGTAATTTCTGTTTTTTCTAGAACTCTTAGCTTCAGTACTTCTGAAAATATTTGCCCTTTTTTGTTTTCCATTGGGAGATTATGACTTTTTGATGATAATGAAAAGCTCCTGAACAATTTCCAGTTATCCATACATTTGGATTTTAGGTGTAATTTACAGATCAAAACAGACTAAGTTACAATTATTTGCACTTAAGCAGTTATTTTTGTTGTGAAGGCAGTTTAAGTGAATTATTATTTGAGGATTAGCTGTATGAGAATTACAAGGTTTTACCGCTCAAGAGATTATAGTTATTCTGAAGAACAAAATTAATACCCTCTCTTCTCCCAATAAAAATCACATTTAAAATGAATACAAGGAACTGTGGATTTATTTGATGCTCTATCTCAATTCTATCAGAATAAATTAATCTACAAATAAGA